TTGAATATCCTCCTTGGTGAAGTGTCTATTCATGTCTTCTGCCCATTTTTTAATTGGATTGTTTGTCTTTTTGTTATTGAGGTGTTGAAGTGTTCTATAATCTATATAAAATCTTAATGAGCACAAATAAAAAGTTCACAAGAGATGTAACACAAACTGCCAATAAACCTAGGAAAGGATACTTACTCCTTATTGATAATCAAATATAAAATAAGACGCCATTTTTCACTTAACAGCCCCTCACTTGTTAAATAAATATTTACTGAACATCTATTATGTGCCAGGCTAAAAAAATTAAAATTGACAAAAATAACTTTGTCATGGAGCTCACATTCTAGTGAGAGACAGATGGTAAATAAAACAAACAAACAAAAAAACCTCATTGCTGTCCAGTCGAATCCAACTCATAGCGACCCCTCCTTGGGTTTCTGAGGCGGTATCTCTATGGAAGTCTTCTTTCTGAGGACTGGCTGGTGGGTTTGAACTGCCAGCTACCTGGTTAGCAGTCAAATGCCTTAGGCACTATGCCACTAGAGCTCCCAACAGTAAATAAGAAGTAAAATATATGGCCTGTTGCAGCACTACTGAGAACAATAAGGTAACGAAAGGGGTGGGTGAGGTAGGGAACAGAGTATACAATTTAATGTAGAGTGGTCAAGGAATGGATCTCTGAGAAAGTGGTATTTCAGCAAAAACTAGAAAGGCTTGAGGGAGCAAGCCAAGTGATATGGGGTGGGGGGGATGCAGAACATTCCAGCATAAGCAATGAGGGCAAGACCTTTTGGAAGCACAATGGGCAGGCCAATGAGGCTGGAGCTGAGCAGCCTGGGATGGAAAATGGCAGTATTTGAAGTTTGAGTGTAGGCCCAATTGTAGACAGGGCCAGCCTCATGGGCATGTGACCAGCTCTGCTGTTCCTGTCTTGAAATTCTTAATAATTTTATCTTTGAACTTGTGTTTTTAAGTGAAGTGTGATGGAACAAGGGAGTGTGTCTTTAAGCAGAGGAAACACTCACAATGTGCATGCCTCTGTTTTCTGATTCCCCATTTGCAGACATTATCAATGCTTCACAAGCAAAAGAATTCCAGTGGACTCTCAATGCCTGGGAGTTCAGTGACACTCAGAATACAAAGTGTGTTATGTCTATGAGTAAGTGAAGTGTGCCAATAGCCCTGAGAGGCCACGTTTTCCACCTGAACTAGAACTTGTTCCAAAAGCCAAAAGGAGGCAGATTAAAAAAAATACCATGATAAGTCAAGACAGAAAACATGAAAGGAAAATGCTTTCTAGTTTTATACCTTTGTTGTTGTGAAGAGCACTTTTTTTCCTGCCTTTTGAACAAGGGGCCTGTGGTAGTTAAGTTTTTGTGTCAACTTGGCTAGGCCTGGTTGAGCGGCTGGGCAGCTGGATGTAGTATTCCCCATGATGAGACTGGTGATCAACTCCATGGTAGAATCTACTCTGAGCAACTGAGTAGCTAGTTGCCTTTGGGATGTGGTCTGTTTCCCGTATATAAGCAGGAGTTTTGGGAATGGTCTCTAGCCTTTGGCATGCTTGGACCCTGCATGTAGCCGTGTCGTTGCTCAGCAGCCTGCTATGCTCTGCCGACCTTAAAATGGACTTAAAATGGACTTAAATTAATGGCCTGCCGTTTGGATTGGTAACATCAGGACTGTGCCTTTTGACTTGTCAACCTTGGGGCTTCTCAGCCTCAGCAGCCAATAGCTGTCTGAGTGAAGAAATGCCTTTAGCTCTAGTGGGCCAGGAGCAGGAGGCAGAGCTGGACCCCAAGGTTGAGGGGCTTTCACCCAGCTCCTAGAACCTGGCACTTTGAACTTGGACTTAAAGCCTCCAAATTTTAAGAATAAACTCCTGTTTATTAAGGCCGTCCCATTTGTGGTATATTCTTGTCAGAGTGGCACTAGGTATCCAGAACAGGGCCTCACATTTTCATTCTGCATTGGACTCTGCAAAAAATGAAGTAGCCAGCCTGTCTGCTCTAAGATAGGCAGCAATAGAAGGTTCTGAGTAGAGTGACACAATTCAGCGTATGTTTAACAGAATCTCTTTGCTGAAGTGCGGGGGCGGACTGTACAGCAGGAACAAGCAGACCAGGCAAGAGGCTCCTGCAAACACTGAGGTAGGAGGAGGCTGGCTCAAACCAATGCAGTGACAGCAGAGGTGTAAGCAGTGGTCCTATTCTGGATCTATTCTGAAGGGAATGCTGATCAAATTTGCTGATGGATTGGAGAAGAGGACTTGCTATAGATTGAACTGTGCCCCTCCAAAATGTGTTGGAGTCCTGACCCCTACATCTATGCATGTGACCCTATTTCATAACAGAATTTTCTTGGTTATGTTAATGAGGCCATATCGGTGTAGGGAGTATCCCGAATCTAATAATTTCTGAGTGATTTAAAGAGTAGCACAGACAGAAAGACAGGAAAGCACAAATGGGAGAAGAGAGATGCTATCTGATGACAACCGAGTCAGATGAACCTGGACACTGAGGAACTCCCAGGATTGCCAGGTATATGAGAAGCTGAAATAGACAAAGAAGGACCTTCCCCTAAATTCAGACTTCTAGCCTCCTGAACTGTAAGACAATAAATTTCTGTTTTTTAAAGCTACCCATTTGTGGTATTTCTGTTATAGAAGCACTAGCAAGAAGGAGCCCTGGTTGTGCAGTGGTTAAGAGCTGATAAATAAAACATTGGTGGTTTGAACCCACCAGTCATTATGCAGGAGAAAGATGTGGCAGTCTGCTTCTCTAAAGATTACAGCTTTAGAAACTCTATGGGGCAGTTCTACTCTGCCTTATGATGTCACTATGAGTCAGAATCAACTCAACGGTACACCAAAACAGGGGCAATAGAAACTATCACAGGACTCAAGGATGGCTTCAAAGTGTTTAGCTCAAGTATCAAGAGAGAAGATTTGCCATTTAAGAGACAGGGAA